CCAGTTTTATGAAATCAGAAGGTTCATTAACGTGTTCAAAAGAGCCAGCCAGTCCCAAACTACACCGTATCGTGTTTTAATCATTTTAATATTATCGTTCCTTCAATGCTACGTCTCGCAAGGTAGTATCTTCCCCTGAGCATTTCAGATTAAAATTTTGTATGTATTATTGTCGCGAATGTGCATGCTGCTTGCCGAGCCAATCGCACTTGTCGATTTAATACAAAGTTGTAGTTCTTAGTACATTGTATGTACAAATAATTAAGTAGTGATAAACCTCTTTTTGAACACGTATTTCAATTCCGTTCCTGACAAAATGCTTCGCTTTGTTGAGTGGCAGGGTCTTTTTTATTCGTTCGGTTGGTAGTGTTCTGCAAGCATTTTCATCATTAGACTTAGATGCTAACACGATCTTTCATAAAGCATTCAGAGGTATCTATGAAAAGGAACGTAGATTACGCGCTAGGAGATTCACGTAAAATCTCATTTATAACGGAGTTAAGTACGTGAAGATTTTGTTTTTCACTTGAACTGAATGTATTTTATAAATTAAAAGAGAGCAGGCTCTGATTGTTTCAAGAAGACTCGATGTTGTGAAAACGTCGGTGGGTTCGGAAACGTTACAAAAGTTAATTAAAACGAAAGGGGCCGCGTAACAAGGAAACAGAAATCCCGAGGGAGGGAGGGGGGGGTGGGTTAAGTTGAGTTTAGGTTTTGAAATAGCTACTTATTGTAACGTCTAGCCCCGAACTGATTAAACAACGCACTTCAACTGATAATTAATTTAGAATTAAGAGCTTTCCAGGACTGTACTGCCAGTTAAAGTCTGAAGTTGCTTCAGTGTTCCCTGAATTCATTATACTTAACCCGTTTAAAGCCCAGTGGTAACTTAATGAACCATTCAACTCAGAATTCAGTAATTCTTTCCTCAAAGGGTGAATTTGTGAGTCTTGTACGATTCTCAAAATAAACAGCGATTATGTCCTTAAACAGCACTAAACAGTTGTTCTTTGTAATGGAGACGCGTTCCTTTTCCGTGGGTCTTCATCGTGTTTGTTTTCCTGACGTATTATGTGGATGTGAAAATAGTCTCTCGTCCTAAACAAGGCACAAAAGTCGAGGAGGACGAAGTTTGCCACCCTCCGAATTGTTACGCCGAAGTTTATGATATTTCCGAGGTCCTTGCTGCCTCCATCACCAAGCCCTGATCATGGAGGCCAAAAGTACCTCCGAAACGTGAGTCCCTGCAGATAACCATCTCCATAATGAATGTCATGAGAACCTGAAATCTGAGTTTTACTTTGTCTGAAAGCAATTAGAACTTGTTTCTTAATTTTTCGAAGGAGAAAGAAATTTTTAGTGTTTTAAAAGCGGAAGTTAGAGAAAGTCATAGATTTTTAAATTTTTTTACTCGTTATACTTTCGAATAATTTTAAAATTTATTAATCATTCACATCAGTGGAAATATTGTATTGACCACTGAAACATGCCAGTCCTTTAAATAATTGTTTTCCGTGTATGTAACTCGTCGTGGTTTCATTTCAATAAATGTTTTTGTTATAAAATGAATGACCTCACGGCCAATCAGTCTGTTTCAGCAGACCACGCACATGTAGGAGGCACATGGAAATGTCATGAACCCAAGAGAACTCTACTTCAAAATCGAAACTAAGCTTTGTTACTCTACGCGTTGTTATTTTTAGTAAATGAGATTACGTAAGAGCATTACGTACTGTGTCTACCTATTTACAAAGGTACGTTGTATCAATAGTCCACTGTTTGAAATTTCCCACGCATTTTGTCGTCCCCTTTGCGAAACAATACTTCGCTTCGTTCAGCACAGACCTTCCTGCAGAGTGGAACTGACTTCTAACCCTTTAACGCCTAGTGGGAACTGAATACATCGCCTGATTTAACAGTCAGTAACGCTACATTCTGTAATTTTGCTTCGTGTGGTTCTCACTGTAAACGGCGATTAAGTACTTAAACAGCGTTAACCAATTGGTATTTACAACGGTGAAGTGTGGTGTTTTCTTTGCGGTACGGACTGAATTCTTAAATGTTATTTATAGAGCTTGGCCTTAAAAGTTTCTGCGAAGTCCAGTTCTTTTCTGTTATCGTAATCTAGTGAAAATTACGATAAACTTGGTAGGCAACGAAAGTATTTTTGGAAATAATTGGATTTTTCCAATTTGTTTCAGTCTTTCGTTTGCAGAGCGTTGTTGTTTGTGTTTAATTAGAGTCGATTGCCTGTCATTTAATATTGCCTGCTTGTCAGAGGCTCTTTGATCTTTGCAGTCAAGTTTGTAATTTCCTTGTTTATAATTGTTTCGCCCTTTTCCTCGTGATTCCACCGGTTGACTACATTTTCTGTTTGTCACTCAAGTTAATAAATCAATTCTGTTGAAATGACAGCCTCATGGGACCTTGCCGATCGTCGTGGTGATGGAGGCAGTACGGATTTCTGAAACGTCGGAAACTTCTACAAGATTACATGGCGGAATATCCCAGAAGTCTGCAGCTGTTAGAACCTGAAATCTCCCGAATTGAATTGGAATTCAATTGAACTGCTATTACCTGTTCGGTGTTTGGGTACGGATGGAACATTTCGACGGAGGTGCCATCTGGCATCAGCCCTCGAAAATCAATAGTGCCACAAGAAAGTGATGATGTGGTGTGAGGGCGAAAGAAATGGGAGGTTCAGGCAGTGGGGAGGGGGGGGTTTCACCCGGAGTTAGGAC